ATATTTATCATCTTGTTGAATAATTCTAAAAATCATATTCAAGAAATCTTTATAATTTAAAAATTAAACTTCTTTGGTAAGCTATAAGTACGAAAATACCATAATTTCGATTTAATCTAATTAAATTAAATTAGTTACATAGATTTCATATCTATTTAATTTACACGAATAAACTAAAAATATCTATTTAATTTATAAAATAGATGGGTTAGTTGTGATAAATTTTCTAGAAATCTCTAGATGCAAGTAAGATATCTTTTAATTAATTATAACTGGCTAAAATAAGCAAAATTAATGAGAAAAACTTTGATTATTATGAAATTCGTTTCAAAAGTATACGAACAAATATATTATACGTAATTAATGTATAATATTGTTCGGAATATGATTTTATAATTAGTTACCATAAGTACAATCAAATTTTATTTGATTTTCATAAACATTTGATTTTAGTTCAATTTTTCATTATTAATTCGAATTTATATTCCAAATTTTTTTCAAAGATCCGATTTCAAAATTTCGGGTCAATTTTCTGATTTTGACCCGACCCATTTACATTTGTACTTCTCTTTTAATAGTATAGAGATTTACATTTGTACTTCTCTTTTAATAGTATAGAGATCAATCTTTCAACACCTTGTAGACATAATTGTAATTTTGTTAGGCATATATAATTGAGGGTTTAAGTTTTTTAAAAAAACAAATAATAGAGGATTTTGAAATCAAAGCAAAAATGACTAAATTTCCTACACCTTATCATATTAATATCTATAATACATAATTTTATTACAATCAAAATGGTTTGTGCTGTATTTTATTTATTTAAAGATGAAATTGTACATTTTAAAAAATGAATGTAGCAATAACTTGATGAAGTTTTATTTTGTAGTTTTCTTTTTACTTAATCATGTGAAATGTGTATTCTTAGTATAAATAATCAACTTAGTTCTATTTTGATGACTTTTTTAAAAATAATATGATAATTTAAATTTACAAACCTACGTGTTTATTTATGATTTGGAAGATTTTTGCAATTTTCTGTAAAAAAAATGATATCGTATATGTTTTATTCATTTTGAAGAGAAAATCAGTGATCTTTCGCTGAGGAGGAGTCTTGGGCCATGGAGATGTCGTGATGCTTAACTACTGTTGTAAGAAAAAAAAATCCATTTCAGACTAAACTATATCTTAAATATGTAATCAAATAGTATATATCCACTAATTTATACAATAAGATATTATTATTCAATAAAAATTATGGACCACAAATCCACAACTTCTTAACAGAAAAAATATCTCTTTAGTTTTTGTGGAAAGGAAAGTGTCGTTATTGTCAATATTACTTCACTTAGAAAAATAGGGTACACTTGAAATAACAAATTTATTAAATCGTCATAAGAATAAATGTTAAATACATTCTTATATATTAATTTAGAACTATATTTCAAGAAAGTCCACTCTTTACTTCAATAATATTTTAAAATCATATATTATGAATTCGCCAGTTAGTAAAACAAACTATACTACTAGTAGTAGTTAAAATAGAATTGCTTATTACTATGGTTTATAAATAAATAGCATGGAAAAATTATGGACAAACTCATGAAATTCATCAAAGGTAGGGCCTTAACTTGGCAATTCCCAGAGCCTATCAAGCAAAAGAAAAAAAAAATCAAAGGCTGTAACTTTTCTAAATTCATTGAAAAATAAAAAGTTTTACTTATGATGATATATGAGTCTTGGAAACAGCTAATCTCCAAATCAGTTCAAATGTGGCTATGTTTCTCTGCCAATGTTCTTAACAAGTTATATAATTCATAAATTAGAATTTTGCCATTTTCTAATATATCCACTGAATCATGAATACACATTGTTAGATGAGTTTATCAAATCATAAAACTTGTATCACACAATCAAATATTATCTACCAAAATAATAATAATTAGACATCTGCATAGAGAATGTTTATATGGATTACAATCATGAGTTCATGACTTGAGTTGTTAGAATGGAACATTTTCAATTGACTCAACTAATATAATTTTTGAGAATAAAATATTTAGAGGGGAACTTAATAATGAATCTGAAAATATAATAATTGCAATTCATGAAAGAAGTTCTCTAAAGCGGAAGCATCAACTAATAACATTAGGATTATAAATTTATAATGAAATGAAAATACCAAATCCATTAACAAATAAAAAAACAAATGGAATACCAAAGAATTTAGACTAGAAACGGAAACAGCTAATCTATAATTATCATATTCAACTCAATTTGGTAATCTTAATATAAATTCTGGTTTGGTTTTAAAATTTTAAGTATTTCATAACTTAATTACAAGAAAATACTAACAATGATTTTATTGGTAATAGAGAGATACGTCATCTAGGAAATTTCGATATGGTAGTTGGGTTAAGGCATGAAAAAGTGGTTGATTTTGAAACCAAAGGTTGGGTAAATAATAATTTAATTGCCTGAAAATCATGATTAAGGAATTAAATAAACTATAAAGAAAAAGCCAAAAGGAAGAGGATAAAAAAGGTAATTTGGGAGTGGAAATAATTAGTGTTGTCAGGTCCCAGAGGTGTATTACTGTTCCCTCTTAATTACTTAATTTAATTTTAATTTATTTGGGAATCTAAGAAATAATAAAGGTAAGAAACAAAAAACTAGGGGATGATATGTTTTAAAAACATATTTGCACATAAATGCTGGGATTTTGTTACCCATTGTGTCACCAAATCATTTTTTTTTTCAAAAGTGAAAAAACTTTCATATACTGATATACAGTAGATAGAAAACTCAAAACTGCAGGATATGCTTTTAGTCAAGTGGTTAAGTCCATTTGACTCCGCCTTTCTACCGGAGTTCGACTCTACTAAGCCGCGTTACCCCGCGTAATAGGGATTGGCTATGGATCAGACCTTATCGATTCAAAGATGTCAAAAAAAAAAAAAAAACTCAAAACTCAAAACAGGGCCCCCTTGAGGTCACGGCATCCATAGCTTGTATAAGCATATTGTCAATAACCTGTAATTGGAACTTATAATTAGCTGAATGAACCACAGTATTTAAGTACGTTTAGATTAAGGGTTAATTAATCTAATTAGAGTTAGAGTTAGAGTTGAAGTGTGTATTAAAAAATATTCGTAAGTATTGTTTGGTTATTTTAGTGTTTGTTTTAGCTAGGTAAAACATTTTTTTAGTTCAAATATTTGTTCGTGTTGAAATTTGATTATTGTTTTTCTCTACATTTATTCACAAGATTCAACAAAAAGCGACTATTGTAAAATTGTAAATATAAACTACAAATAAGACACTAAAAATTACTTAGGATATCAATGTGGTTTTTCCGAAAATTCTTCAACACTAAATATAATGTATGATATGTTTAAAATTTAATATACATATTATAATTTATTTAATTTGATTTATTTGACAAATAGTTTAATAAACTCAAATTAAATAAAATTTGAATGATTTTGCTAGTTAAAAAAAATCCGACAGTAGTCCACTTAGTTACATATATACATGTCTATATTACATATATATATTCCCATGTCAGGGAAAAAAAGGGGAAATAAAGTGATAAGAAAAAGGGTTTTGATAACTTGATTGCTGTAGAGGGAAAGTATAATCAGCTTTTCGTTTTGGGGAGACGAATCTTCACTTCCTTTTTCGTGTTTTTCAATGTTACTTATAATTCCATTTTGTGTATTGCAATAGCAATGTAGCATTACTCTTTTAACACACACACGAATAATCGAGTATTTACTTTATTCAACAGAACAATTACTGTATAAAAACAGAGTCCACAACACTTACCTATAATAAAATAAAGTTTAAGAATTTGTTTTCTTTTCAAGTTTGAATATGCACGTCTTATAATGAGTAAAACATGTACAATATCAATAACTTTAATACGTTGACAAAAAAAAAAAACACTTTACTAGTACAATAATACATGGTACAATTTAGAACATGAAAATCGAGGCATGTATATAATAATAATACTATAGTACTACATGATTGATAGGTATAAAAATACGTATGAGTAGTCACTATTGAAACTCATAATGTATTTGTTTTCATTGTCCTCTAATTTACCAGCAGCTAGGATAATTGCATACATGCGTACAAAGGAAGAGTCATCTTCTTTTTAAAACCGTACATTTCTTTAAATTCTCGATTCTACCTTTATCTTTTTTACTCTATTTAAACTTTTATTTTTATTTTTCTTTTGTTTACTTTTACTTTTCTTTATATGAATTGACCAAACGGTCAAATATTTGGGCCCCTTCTTTTGCATGATTTTTAGTAATTTTTCTTTAATGGTTGTGATTTTAATGTGGGTTAATAAAGTAAAGCTTAAAGTCTCATAATTACAGCATGGGTATAAAGTTTAAAACAAATCTTTAAATAGCTTATAGTAATACTAGTATATTGTTGTCATTTCAACATTCAGATTATTACTGCCATAACTTTTACTTTTTCTTTTACTTATATAAAAAAAAAATGTCAGCCTTTTTCTTCTTTTGTCCTTTAGTGGTCAGTACAATATTGTTTTCCCCTATTTTACTGACATTATCTCATTACTCAAAATAACCCGATCATACAATTAAAAAAAAAAAAAAATTAATTTTACCAGGACGAGTAGTGTGTAATAGATTTACTCAAGACACGTGTGACTTAACTATTGGATTAATATCAGTTTCCATAAAGGAATAATCCATTTTCGGACATGCCCGATATTCCACGATAATGGAGGACAAAAGCGTAATTTTACTATTACCACAATTACTGACACGTCTCCAGTAAAAAGGATTCACCACCACGCTAAGATGAAAACGACAAAAAAAAAAACCATCTCCTCCCACTAAAACGGTAAAAAAAAAATTATCCGACGTGGCATTTACAGTGCCTAGTCAGCATTTTCCTTTGAGAAGTCTCTTCAGCTTCGGATCTCTCTCTCTCTTGCTCCTTTATAAGATTAAGCCAACCTCTCTTTACCCACACCATCCACACACACATAAGAAAAATAAACAAATTATCACAAAAATACGTTTCTTGTATAATAATTTTTTTTCCTCTCTAGATTTGTCGCTTACCTTTTGAACTTCTCCGGCGATGAATCTCGCCGGGAAAATGAATATTCCGGTTACTATTTCTGTTTCCGTTACTAGTAACGCTGTCGACTCTTACCATCGCCGTCACGTCTTCCGTGAAAAAAAACTCTGATCCTTCTCTTAGACTTTTTTTTTTCTTTCTTTGTTGTTATTATTCTTTGCTTCGTTTTTGTGAAGATGATCCGCTGATTTTCAGAAGTTTTCTTCTGGTTTTTAGCTGAGAGGTTTTGTTAGATTCTGTTTCTTCTTCTTCTTCTTCTTCTTCTCTGGTTTTTGAATCCAATTTTGGAAATTTTTGAAGAGTTTCTTTCGTTTTTGTTGGAGAGATCTGAGATTAGTGTATATGAAATCAAATCTGTGTTTGAATTTGAATTGACTTGGGGACTTGTGAAGAGAAGTTAGATCGAGAGCTATGCCATTTACGATGAAGATCCAACCGATTGATATAGATTCTTCTCCAGCTGTAGCTAGAGCTGAATCAGGCAACAAACCTGTGCTCAAATCTCGTCTCAAACGTTTGTTTGATCGACCGTTCACGAGAAACGCAACAACAACCACAGAGAAACCATTCGTCACCGGTGGTGAAGTTCAATGTAGCGGCGGCGGCGGAGTAGTGACGGAGTTCGAACCAAGCTCTGTTTGCTTAGCGAAGATGGTTCAGAACTTCATAGAAGAAAACAACGAGAAACAAGCTAAATGTGGACGTAATCGTTGCAATTGCTTTAACGGTAACAACGATAGCTACTCCGATGATGAATCAGATCTATTCGGTGGTTCAATTGACGGTTGCGACGCTTCTGATCATCTCAAGGTAAACAACAAATCTCACAAGTTCTTCAATCTCTCGATTTCTATTGATTAACCTAAAACTGAATTTGAATTTGTCGATCTTAATCAGAGTTTGGTTCCGTGCGCAACCGTCGACGAGAGGAATCTGTTAGCCGACGCGGCGAAGATTGTAGATAAGAACAAATCGGTGAAACGAAAAGACGATATGAAGAAGATCGTCAACGAAGGACTCTTATCACTTAATTACAATTCTTCAATCTGCAAATCTAAATGGGATAAATCTCCTTCGTTCCCAGCTGGTAAACAATAATCTTCATCTTCTTCAACACACCAACAACTTTTTTTTTTTTTTTTCATGAACATGAATTTATAAAAACTCTATAATTTTTCAGGTGAATATGAGTATATAGATGTGATAATCGGAGAAGAAAGGTTAATAATCGATGTAGATTTCCGATCAGAGTTCGATATAGCGAGACAAACGAGTGGTTACAAGGCGTTGCTTCAATCTCTACCGTTCATTTTCGTCGGGAAATCTGATCGGTTAAGTCAGATCGTGTTTTTGATATCGGAGGCGGCGAAACAGAGTTTGAAGAAGAAAGGAATGCATTTTCCGCCGTGGAGGAAAGCTGAGTATATGCGATCTAAATGGTTATCTTCTTATACACGAGCTTCTGTTGTCGTCGGAGATGTTGATGAGAAGCCGGAGACGGAGACGGATGTTGCGGTGGTGACGGCGGACACGGCGCAGAGGGAGGTGGATAGTGTTGTAGAGATTGAGCTGGTTTTTGAGGAGAAATGTTTATCTCCGAGAGTGAATATTATTAATTCTTCCTCCTCTCCAAACGACGGCGATGATGACGTGGCGGTGGAGAGAGAAGTGAAGGCTCTCACCGGATTAGCTTCACTCTTTAAGGAAAAGCCCTAAATAAAAAAATTTGGAGTTTTTTTTTTCTTTTTCTAATTTTCAAGGTAAAAAAACAATTATTAAAAATATATAACATTACCATATATTCGCTTTTTTTTTTTGTTTACCTTTTTGTAGTTGTTTTGACCTCTCTTGTTTTTTCTTTACAATGGTTTTTTACCACTTTGTACTTTAGTACCGTCCACGGTGAAAAAAAATAAAATTACTATTCCCGAATAAAATCTTATCTCTAAAATTTAGTACTTCCGAAACTCAAAAACACCTGAAAAATCGTGCAGTGGATAATATTTTAATTTTAATCCAAATTTTATCATTTTTGTGTAATCTTAAAACGATACCGTTTAATATATGTAACCATACAAGGGAACAGAAGAGTATGACACGCTCTTTAATTTTTAGTTTCTCATCTTTTGATAAACCTTGCAATTTTGATTAATTAAACGTTAAGCGTTACGAATTTATTTACTAATCTGTTTTTAAAAGTTTAGTTTAGTGACGACAGCATTGAGAGAAGAGAGAAGCTCGTGGGCTCTCGATAGTTGTGGAGTGCCAGAGCTGTTCTTGAACAACGAACGTCTCATATTCTTTATTCTTCTTTTTTTTGCTTTAGAATTAATCTTTTTTCGTTTTTATTACCTTAATCTAATGACTTTTTGTTTCGGTAATCTCATTTTAATCTTTATTGAACCAACTTTAGACAGTTCCCAAATCTTGACACGTTAAAATTTGGTCCATTTTCTGTCAAATTGGCCCTTCAACTAACTAATAAAACCGTATAGCTTAGGTGGATTTTTTTTTCTTGTTTTTAGGTGGATTTATAAATCAATATTAATATGGATAATGAAATTGACTCGTTATGTTATAATCCCTCCGTTTTAGTTTAGTTATCGTTTTAGGATTTAAATTTTGTTTCATAATAGTTGTCGTTTTAGGTTTTCAATGCAAATGTTTGGTGAAAATTTCAGTTTTATCCATATTGTTTTAATGTTTTGGCCAATGAAATTTTTTATAAAATATATTAATAAAGGGTAAAACAGAAAATTAAATGTTTTTCTTAATTTGTGTAAAAAAACATTAAACGACAACTAAAACGAAACGGAAGGAGTACTATTTATGATCAGAAATCAACCTAGTTAATTTGAAATTACGAGCTAAACTTAAGAACTTAAGTTGCAAGATTATAAATCGAGATTGAGATTTGTCATATGTTCAGTTTCAGTCATTCAGATGTATTATTTATGTAATAAGAACGTTAACTGGATTACTATTTTGTTTCTAAGATTTTCGTTGGTTGATTTTTTTTTTTCATGTTGCATTTCAAATTTGAAGAGAAAAAAATTAAAAACAAAGTAGTGGCTCGTGCTTGTAAAACGTGTTAGATATTTGTTCATGCTGTACCTATCGGTATATGTATTATTTGCCGGATTTCTTAAAGAAACATCACAATTTTTTACTCTTTTTGAAGACAATAAATCATTTTCTGTTTGTCTTCAAGATGTAAATTATTCGATCGTTTGCATTATAAAATAATGTTTGGTTGAATTGATGTTACATTGTTTAAATACAGTTGTAGGACTAATATGTTATATCTATCTATAATCTATAATATTAATGAAAAGGGTTATTAATTTTAAATATCAATCAACGTTTTTAGTAGTATTAATAAAGAGAGCATATATAATAATAATAATGTTAACGTCATTTATTAATAAACGAAAATAATAAATATTTTTTCAACACAAAATTTTCTAATTTAATTGTCATGCGGTAGAGATATATTACTTGGATTGAAATTTTTCATTCTTACCATTAAAAAGTAATGAAATTTTTTTGATTCTTTCTTTGTTTGTGTGGTTAAGGTTAATACGTATAGACTTGTGATGCAACAACAGAATTATGTGGTTAACGTTAATTCAAGCCCCATGGGGTTGGTTAACCACACAAGCAATGATCAACAACGTTATGATTGATCATATGTACAAAATTTTACTATTATTGGAACATCGCTTCTAGATTTTATAGGTTTGATTTTGTAACATAGGATCATGGATTCAGTACTCTTACTTTCTAGATCATTCCCAAGCATAACAATAATCCAAATATTGTAATACGATCCATTGAACATTTTAAAAATATAATCGATAGATGATCATTAAAATAGAAGAAAACGAATGATTCCATAACATTTGTAGGAACCAGAAAGAACAATTATGTCGAAGATTATGATGTGCTACTTCTCAAACTTAAGATAACTTTTTAGTTAACTAAAATATACTTATTTTATTAGGATGTACACAAATATGACTCTAGAGTCTAGACCCATCCATATATTATACGACATTAGTAACACAACTTATCTAAATGTAAATATGGTCTTGTAATTTTACATGAAACACATTACGTTTTTACTATATAATCTGTGATTGACTTCAATATATGATATACGTTGTATCCAGTGGCGGATCCAAAACAGATTTATATGGGGCACAACATATAAACCACAATAATTTAATTACAAAAAATTATCAAAAAGAGACACTATATAGGAATCGAACTATAGAATTTAAGATAAACCTGGGGAAAATTGAACCAACTAAGCTAAAAATATATTAATTGCTCTCAAGTATTTATTAAGTTTATAAAATCTGTGTTGGGCACGTGCCCAACCTCCTCTCTAAGTAGATCCGCCCCTGGTTGTATTTCTCATATCTCTTTTATGGATCAACTAGTCAGAGCCGTGCCAAGGAATTTTGATGTCATAGGCAAAAAAATATGGTTTATTACATAAATAATATAAAATAAACATAGTAAAATATATGATTTAATTTTTTAAAATTTTATAATAAATCTATAAAACTTTAAGCAAAACTTGTAAAAATTCACAGTTCAAAAAAAAAGTATTTATCAAACAACGAGAACAATATATAAACTAAGTTGATCGTAATATGTAGTTTAGCAATTTGTGTTAGTGTTGCAAAACAAAATATAATTTTGGTAATAATAAAAATTTAATATAATTATTTTGATATACATTTAAGATTCCTTGTTAGGAATTTTATATATTGCATGCAAGTTATACTATCTTCCTTTATCATTTGTGTTAATCTCTCTAACTTTATTCATTTAATAGGTATATGATAACTAATCATTATTAACAAATATAGCTTCCTAAATTTTCTACAAAACTTGGTGTCGTAGGCGAATGTTTCCAAATTATACAAATAGGCACGGCTCTGCAACTAGTTGATGTTCTCACAAAACCTATATGTCGAGTTTAGTTCAAATGATTATATTTTTTTGTTAAACAAGATCGGTTTTGCAAACCGCGGACCATCTTGAAGGGACGGACATAACAAAAAACATACACAAATATATAGTTCGTTTAGATCTTAATCTTATCTCTTCATGTACTCGTATATACCGATGTACTTTTTCAACATAAAATCAAGGAAATACGTTTCTCTAGTCAAATGAGGTTTTGATGTGGAATACCGAATACGTGGTGATTCTTCATATTTTTTTTCCTTTGCTATTTCAATTTTAAAAACAAATAAATAGATAGATAAGTCATAAGCATAAACAAACAAGTATGCATTAAATATTTTGAGTAAACTTTGATATGAAAGATGAAAATAAGATTAACTATCAAAATAAGGACTACATTCTTTCGCGTGATTGTTATTTGGATAACAAATTAGAAGGACAATGGAAAACTACAAATGAACAAATTTGTATATATATTATTTCACGGTTAATTGATCTTGATACATTTAGCTCTTTTCCAATCCAAAAGTTTACAAATAAGTAACTTAACTTTAGACAACAACTCATCATCTATAATTTCTAAAGATTTACCTAAGTCACTTAACCAATTTGATAGATTCATCCCTCTACATTTGTTGTGGGACTAAAATATCGTCTTGTAAATGACTCCAAAAAAAAAAAACACTTTTGATGGGTAAATCTACAATAATTTTAGCTGATCGCTTACAACTGTTTAATTTGATATCCTATTTCATACGTTTCACTTATTTTTCCTTGTCAACTGAGCCCAAGAAACATGATCTTCACTTAAAATTGTACACTTATAAAAAACTATTGACATAGTTAAGTCTACTTTTTTCATCAAGTCGCTTAATTGCCATGTCTTGTCAGAACTTTAAAATAGAAAACAAAAAAATTGTAAATAGTTAAAGGTTTTTTTCCTCCATTTCTGTCGAAGCCTTAAACCAAGTATTTACATGGACCTAACAGTGTTCCAAATATAAGTATGTAATTAAATATGTTTTTCTTTATAAACACATACATATATGATATATTGTGTGTAAAATGCATCATAATCATTGATGTGGGAGCACCAGTCAATTCATCCATAACTATAGTATTTATTATCATTGTTATTATTATTTTATATGTCCATATATCAAATGTTATTGTATATCGATCGAATTATTTGACAATAGGGTAGGGTCGGTTACAACAATTTCACAAGCTGTGGGGTCTTAATTCCCTTTTCTAATTACCATCCACTCTCTTTTTTTTCTTTTCTGGATTTGACATTATTTGCACGGGTAGAAAATTTTAAATCTTTCATTTAAATATCCCTATACTATTTATTATTATCAGTACCATATAGTATCTTTTTGTTACGTTTCTCTTTGTTACCCAATAAAAAAGAGAAAGTAATAATAAACCATGGGTTAGATTTAATGTCTATAGAAAACGACTCTCCACCCACTCATTTAAATAGTTTTGGAGATTATCTTATCTTTGTTAATTCGCATGAGCTTGGCTAATGAGACAATCAAGGTTTCTGCACTAAAGAAATAGTTGTAATTAATTTGATATGTTTTTAAAGGTTATTGCACAACCAACTTGTTATATTGTTGCAATTATTATTATGATTATTATTTTGAAACCCCCACATGAACGTTACAATGATTTGTTTATATTATAAGGTTATGTCTATGTAGAGAGACAAAGAGAGAGAACAGGATAAAGAGGCATCTTTTTATATAAGCCAACATTTGATCATTAGACATTTTGAAAGTGCTTTTCTTCAATGTTGAATTTGAAAACTTACTACATACTCTCTTGTCCGTTTTTCTCCCATCTCTCTTTTAACTTTTAGAATTTACATGTCTTCTTTTGACACATTTTGTCAAATTAAGTTTTTTTTTTCCTTCTTTAAAGCTCATAGATATAGATGACTAGCTAGGAA